AGGAGCCGGAGGGTCCCGCGGGCTGGGCCCTGCCTGCCCCCGCCTCTGTGCGCACAAGGCACCCCCCAGCCCCAGGGTACCGTAGGCAGTCGGGCTGCAGCACACACACTGCGTTTCTCCGCACGCTCGTCACCAGTTAGAAAGCTGCGGCAGCCCGGATGCCTTCCTAGACATCCATTCCTCCTACTCAGCCCCTGGCAGAGAAAGGAAAATAACAGGCAGCACTTCTTTCTGTGTGGGTGGAGGAAGAGAAAGGACTATCGATAACGGATTCGTTGAAGGGACGCTGACTTCTTGGTTTTAATTACTATTTTACTAGTTTCAGCGTAGCACTGGGTTGTATAGCTGCCACAGAACTCACTTGGTAGCTTTAGTGCAGTGCTTTTAAAATCCTACATTCTTGCTTTTGCTTTTTAGTAAAATCTTTTCTCAGTCCTGATACGTGCAAAGAACCCGTTCGGGAAAACTCAATTTCCAAAACAGTGACATGGACTCTGCGAAAAATGCTAAACTACTGGAAAAGCAGCATTTGCCATTTGCTCCAGTCCTTCTAGGCTGTAATGGCAGTTTCTTATAACATGTGAACATTTGTCATTTAGGAGCATTTAGGGTTTTTGTGGTTCGGTTTTGGTGGGTTTTTTTAAGTTGGTGGTGTTTCTTTAAGTTGGATTTTTCCTCTGGATGGGAGGTGGAGTGTTGTCAGATCACAGGGCTAAATCTTGCAATCAGCAAGTGAACAGAACTGTCCTTTGGAGGAAATGATGCCTTGGTAGGCAAGGAAGGGACTTGTGGCATCAATGAATCCAGCTTTCAACCAAAGCTGCACTATCAGCAACCTCTCTGTGGGATTCTGTGGAAGCAGGATCCCCAAGCCTGGCTTGTGCTGAGGGAATCGCTCTTGCAGCGCTGTTTAGCTTACTGTGTTTGGCAGCATGTGAGAAAATGTAGTGATTCATGTAACCTTACTCCTTGTTTTTCTAGTTATTTAACTGTTCTTTCTATCTTAAGTACTGAGTGCAACCTCACATATAGAGAGGTGTCTTTGTACGGCTAATAGACATGTGGATGAAAGCTACATAATATGGCGATATAAATAATACAATTTTTAAGTAATAGTGATGCTATTAAATTTGAGTTTTTCTTCCCATTCTGGGATAAAAAGCTGGGAAAAAAATCTTACAAAAAGTGTGCTTTTTTTTTCTCTAGAGCTGTGTGAAGAAATTCTTCAGCCATGGATGTGTTCATGAAAGGACTTTCCAAGGCAAAGGAGGGAGTTGTAGCAGCAGCAGAAAAAACCAAGCAGGGTGTGGCAGAGGCTGCAGGAAAGACGAAAGAAGGCGTCCTCTATGTGGGTAGGTGGACAGCAGAGATCACGCTGCTGGTCGGTGTACCCTGACATTCACAGCTGGATCCTCATCAGACCTATTCTTCTGGAAAAAAAAAAAAAAAAAAGAAGTAATCTCTTATAGGAGACCGTTGCAAAACAAGAGGAGAGTTGTGCCCTCTTGAGCTCCAGTTCACTGAAGCTGAATGTTGGTTCTTATGTCCCTCTGTTGTGCTGGCCATGCATTACTGCTCTGTGGAGCCACATCTGTAATGCCACACTGAACAAGGTTGTGTCATAGGAGGTGCCTCACAGTACAGGTTGCTAGCTGGCACTCTATTCAAGAAGTTTGCTACGTTTAGGCTGAAGGGGTAGTTGGTATAGTAAAAATGAATTTAAAAGGTATGTAAAAGCTGAAGTGGAAGGTACCTTCACAGCACCCCATAGAACACGTGGGGTTTAAGTTGGATTTTAAGGGAAGAAACTTGAGAGGTTAGTTCAGGAACTGAGCATAAACCATGCTGACTCCTTGGCATGTCGACAATAACATTTTGCATGACAAAGTGTCATCTCATCTTCTAAAATTAACTTCATGTTCTGTACTTACTATTGCATATCCATAGCAGATATTTTCCTTGACTTCTCAAGGAAGAGCTGCTACAGTTAATGAGGTAGGGCAGGTAGACCCCAAGGTAGCAAAGCAGCTGTTAAGTGATTTATCTAGGCCACACAAGAGTCTTGCACAGAGCCAGGATAAAATTATTTTCAAATCCCAGATCAGTACTTTGGTTGCACGGTCATCTTCTTCACTTAGCAAGTATCAGGCTTTAGAGGACTATCATGCAAATGCTGCCATGAAGAATTCACAGGAAAATAATCTGCCAAGACCATATGAATAAGTGGTTATTTAAAAAAAAAGTAATTATGGACCTGTTTCTTCTATGCAACAAATAAAGTTTGTTTATAAAAGAATGGAGGGGAAAAGGTACTGATTTTGTAGCAGGTCAGTTCTGTAATGGACGCTGTGCATACTTAGGGAGATGTGCACAGATATCAAAGAGAAGCAAAACAGTGTTGAAAACCAGAGGCATTTCTTTTAAATGGGAGCACTGAGGTCTCGGCAATTCTGATGTCTTTTCAGGATTCACTCTGCCCTTGCAGGCTAGCGCCAGTCTGTAACAAATTATTTCTGCTCCAAATCGTTTGGACTACTCATTTGGAATACACTTTTCTCTTGCTGAGCCATAGCAAAGCTCGGTGCTCTTGCCAACAGAGATGGCAGTCATTTTCCAAACTAATTGTAAGATGAGTCTATTTGAGTGTCTGCTCATTTTCAGTATATCAAAATAGATGTTCTTTCACTGTACATTGTGCTTGATAATGGAGTTATTTTTCAGGGGTAGGGGGTTTTTTATTTTCTTTTCTTGTAGTTCCTAACCATGCCTCTGGAGTCATTGATTTCTTTGTATTAGAAACCTGCGTTGTGTGCTGAATTAACCTTTGTGTCTTACCTGTTCTCCAACCATAATAATTTTTGAAACTAGTTCTGCTCCAAAAGGCAAGAGACTTTTTTCATTGTATTCAGAGACGCTTTTGCTGAGGTTGAACTTTGGAGGGCAGGCTTGCTATTTATTTCAAGAATAAAATACTGACGACTGGGGAGACCTGAGTCAGGATAGAGACCTGTGCATATGACTGTAGTAGTGGCCAAGAATCCTTCCCACGGCAGATGCCTGCTTTTCAGGAGGAAGGAGCTATATGCACAGTTTCAGTTGTGCAGGTAAAAAAGCCTTTGGTTGGAAGCTGTCTTCAGGAGCTTTGGCAGCTCATGTGTCTAGATGTCTTGCCTGCTTGCAGGGAGCCACAGTTTCCCCAGCTGAAGTTTCAACAGGATCAAGTAGGGTAAGGGTGAAATGAGGAGCTGGGTATTTCTCTGTCTACTTTGCAAGCACATAGCAGGGGCGGCTCTTCTGAGCAGTGTTAGCAAAGGCTGGTGTGAAAATCTCTTGCTTCTGTAGGCTGGTAACGGCTGCAATGCAAAAGGTGGTGAAACCCCTTTATGAGCAGAGGAGAGGAGCAGCACGCTGCATTAGAGCTCCTGAAGGTTTCTCCCTCCCTAAGTCTGTAGCTGGGATTTCAGATACGAGTTTCACAGCCAGATTATGCTGTGAAAGCTGTGTGATGTCTTGCAGAAAGAACCTAACAATGTTGGGCTGAGAAGGACTTGTTAATCGTTTTCAGTTTCAACAGTCAGCTCCATGACATTCAGCCTTCCATTGCTGCTGGAGGATTAATACGATGCAGTCTTTGGTCCAGATCACCTAGGTGATATGAGCTCGCACCAAAATCAGTGGAATTTAAGTAAATATGGAAAACATCTGGACCTTTCTGTCCAGGCTGCTGTTAGCTATTATGTGAAAGATTGTAGCGTAATTCTACCTGGTAAGAGTTCTATTAACAAAGGCTGCTGCTTGGGATGAAATGTGGTCATTGTAATTTCTTTCTTTTTTTTTCTTTTTTTTCTTTTTTTTTTTGGCACAAGGAAAGTTCCCTTTGGCACAGGGCGAAACTTAGAGCTCTGAGCAAGAGTGGTGATAACTGGGGATTTTTTTCCCTCTCCATGCTGAAGTCTGTTCTTTCTTCCCTCAGTCCGCTGTCTTTGTCCTGTCTTTTAATACCCAAGATACTGTTCAATACAGTCTAGTGTGTTTCTATGCTTCCAAGTGTGGGTTTTTCCCCCCCTAAATTCCTCTGCTGATGTACTTCAGCATCAGCCAGCTGAAATCAGTGGCTCTGTCTTGACTCGTACAAGCACAGCATCAGGACCTTTCTTGATGTCAAGCAATGGCCTGATTATTGATTGGAAAGGAGGACTGAGGGTCAGCAGTCCTGTGCTGCATCGCGTATGCCGTAAATTTAAAACTGGGTCTCTATGTATCCTTCAAGAGCTGTTGGTGTGAAGCAGTGAGGAAAAAAGTGGGAATACTTACCCCACTCACTTTGAAACCAGGAACTGAGAGTAAGAGGCTAATCTTGGATGCTCTTAGTGCTGTACTGCTCAAGAGCTCCTCAAAGCTCTGTGTGTGCTACCAGGGAGCTGAAGTTTTTGCTCAATTGACTCTTGAGTGCATGTTCAGTGCTCAGGAATGGGAAGTTTCCAGTCTGATAATTTTTGATGTATTACACCCTAGGAGAACAAAGGAATAGTTTTATCAGGAGTAGGGTGGCTAGGAGACAAGTTGTTTACTAATCCCTATGCGTAGCTGGCACATGGCCTTAGAGTAGAACAGTGCAGTCATGACCTATTTGGCAAGACCATCCAAATTCCTCTGCTGCACTCTTTTCATAAGGTTTCTTAGTTTCATTTGGTAATAGAAAAGCCAGCAGAGTAGTCAAGGGACTCAAGGTCCATCTGGTGGAATAATGGGCTTCAGCATTTGGGAGCAAGTGTTTTCCTTAGACAATGAGTTCTCCTTTCCCGAATTTGGGCTCCCTGTCTTTAACCATCTCTTACTAAGTGACGTGAATCCCAAGGAGGGCTTGCTTGGAATAGTCTGTTCGTCTCTCAGAAAGCCCAGAAATGAGTGTATTGCCAAGCTGCTGATACACACTTTCTTTTTGGAATAATGACAGTGATGATAATAAATAATGAAATGAAGAGGAGCTATTGTACTTTTTTATACTTACACAAAGGCAAAAATTGTGGTTTTGGCTTCTCCCTCCGTTCACACAAATGTGTATTATAGCAAGGAAAAGTAGCATTACCATGTACTACTATTGCTCCTGCATCACCTAAGTAGTGTAGGTCAGTGTCAGGTTCCATTGTTGTTATATTATCCCTACTCTGATTCCTCCATTCCCCTTGTTATGCAGGGTACAGTGTGCAAGATTATTGATGATTTGGGAATGCCAGAATGAAAGACAGCTAGTTTTTCTCAGAAACAATGTGGATGACCAGCTTTCCTTCATTGCCAGCCAGAAGTAATCCTACAGAATTCAACTGTTATATTTATAGGCCTGTTCTGGCAGATCCTAATGTGCTTCTAGATCCTGTTGTAGTGTGACTGCAGAAACAGATACTTCCATGCAAGTGTGCAGTAGTGGGGCAAATAGTATTTAGCTCTAACATATGCTGTAAGGTCTGGACCACTGCTTAGCTGGTTGTTTGCCAATTAATGGGTTTGGCTATGCATATCTGTGTTCTGTATGGGTCTGCAAGCTGAGCTTTCGTTAAAGAAAAGCCTGTCTTCCACTAGCAGAAAGAGACTAGCATTTCTGTGTTAGTTGCCGTTATAGCAGTGTTACATTAGGGTAAGTGAAGTAAGAATCAACTTGGATATGTCCCTCTGGAGGCAGCACTGCTGAGGTCCTCAGGGAGTTCTGCCGTATCGTCCATCCCTTACCAGCCCTAGGGAACCGAGTACTTGCTGTTCACAGTTTTCCATGTATTTAATAGCTTGGCTTGCAGACAATAACTTCAACAAGATGAACAAGATATTGGCCAGGTCTAACAACGCATTTAAAAGCATACTCTTAAGTGTTTTGATAGACACCCTGTAAACCTGAACTGGTGTTTAGTCTCTAGAAGTCTGTAGAACTGTCATCTGCTTGTATTCCAGTATGAGTTCAAAGTACTTCACTTCTTCAGGTCTCACGGTACCACAAGATTGATGACTGAAGTCCTAAAACAAGTACTTAGACATTAACACCTTGGATTTAATAAAATGCATGATGCTTTCAATGTAAAAATTTTCAGTGAGAGAAAACAAGCTTTTTAGAAAGAGAAAATCAGAATAAAGGGGGAAAAAACTTCTCAGCTGTTTGACCTCTTCATTAGCTAGTTAAAGGAACATGTCGTTTTACTTGATGCGATATTTTTTTCCTCTTATTTATCATGGCTTATTACTGTGCTCTTGCTCATGGATAACAGAGCCTTTTCAATGCTGTAATCAATCTGATAGTGCCATAAATACATGGCTTAAGTTCCATAAATTTGCACTAGTAGCAAGTAGGATACATTGATGAATGAACTTCCATTGTATTTCAGTATTTAATTGTATTATTGTAAAGAATTGTGGACAAAGTTGCTTTGTTCTAATATATTTCTGCTTATATCAGTTTGTGTATGATTTTACACATTATTAAGCTAAAATTATATAGATGTTAGAAGTGTAAAGTCAGAAGTATAAATTATAATGTTTCAAATACTGAATGACATACTAGGGTAAGATGATAAACTAGGAGCCATCAACTTTGTCTCTGTAATGCTTAGTTGCACATTGCTGAGCGTGGTAGTCCGCAAATGGGTGCTAATCCCTGAAATGCAGCAAAATTATAAAACTTGACAAGTAGAGCTCTGGTACAGAAAAAGACATGGAGTTACATTTTCAACAGCAGTATGTGCTAATTTGTTTCTCTTCCCATTGAAGACAGGAAGAGATTGTCCCCTTTCATGCAGCATGGTAAAAAGTCATGATATTTTTACAAGGATGTTCCAGAAATTGGTTTGGTCTTCAGGGTGGCAGAGTTACATTGCTTACACAGGTCTTGTGTTATGTCTCAAGCTAGTACTAGCTCTAAGTTGCTGTCTCCAGAGTCTTTACATAAGTTGTCACATGTGCCCGTGTCAGGGAGGACACTGGATGCGGCAGAATTTGGGTTTGACCCTGGTGGCATTTTCATGTTTGCATCCTGTCTACTGTTTAATATTTCCCTTTCAGATTCATGTTTGTCTAAATCTGGCTAGCACAACCAGCCCCTCATGATTTTAACCTTTAGGTCTTTCTGTAGTTCAATAATGGTTGTTAACCCCTGCAAACTGAGATCTGGAGAAGAGTTCTAAGATGAAATTGTGAGGATCCTCTGGAAGCTTTGGCTTTGCAAACGCATGCCTGAGCCTCCTTAGGACATTAACAGAAACATGGTTCCCATGCAGAGTCGTCCATGTGAGTTTGCACAGTGGGAGGCTTTAATTAACACAGCTATTAAGAAAATGGCAAGGAATTCAGTGCGTACAAGAAAAAAACTGCAGAAGTGTTTCCAGTATTATTCACCTTTCCACAGTCAATATACGTTCATGCAGTTGCTCTTTATTGATGGTTTTGTCTTTTCCCTTAGATTGAATTTCTCTTTAATTAATCTTAATAATCTTAGAAGATACTGTATGCAACTGTATGTAATCTATATATTCATCCCTCTTTACCATCAATCAAGTCTTTACCAGTACTTAAGAACATGTATTTCAACTTCATATTGTTCTTTGTTTAGGTTCCAGGACCAAGGAAGGAGTTGTTCATGGTGTCACAACAGGTAAGACAATTATCTCTTAATTTCAGCTGCTTCCCTGTGTTTGATTAACTAACCATTTAGTTGTTAAAAATTCTGTGCATTTTTTTGAGAGTGCTCCAATTTATGAATGATAGAAAAACATGGAAAAATTGAGAGGCAGAAAGCAACATTGATTTTGTCAAAAGGTGTACGCTGTTTTACAATCAAACATGTAAATTTGATATAGTTGTTTCTATGTGAGAAGGGTTTTCTGAGGATTGTTCTGAATCAGTCAGGCTGTACTAATGAGACAGGAGACTAATAAAACCAGATTCCTAACCAGAAGGAATTAACTCGTATGTCTAGAATGCAAGTTACAGAGAAGCTGTGGCTGCCCCCTCCCTGGCAGTGTTCAAGGCCGGCCAGGATGGAGCCTGGAGCAACCTGGTCTAGTGGGAGGTGTCCCTGCCCGTGGCAGGGGGTTGGACTAGGTCCCTTCCAACCCAAACCATTCTATGAAATTGATAAATCAAGGGTGTTTCTGTGGTTTGTTTATTCCAAAAGGTGAAATATTCTGTGCTGGGAAGTTATAAACTAGTTGGCATAAAAAAGTGAAGTTTTTCTTAATTTTTTTTTTTTTTTTTTGGTATGAAGAACTTCCACCTGTAGAAACTGAAAGCCTGGCTTGGGTGCCCGTGTTTGTCTCCTTGTGATCGGAGGAGGTAGAAAGGTGGGATCTGAAGAGGAGCACCACGGGAGGAGGACTGTGGAAGGCAAAGTGGGAGGGACTGGGGCGTACATCAGGAGGACTTTAATCTGCTGATTTAGGAGCTCACGGTGGGACAGGACAGGTACCAGTGCAAGAGACAGTAATTGCTGCAACAAATAAAGGAAAATACTGTAGAAGGAGCCTCCTTCGTGCAGTCAGGGCAGAAAGGCGGAACCACAGGGAGCGTTCGCAGTGAAGGCGAACGAGGCCAGCGGCAG